AAAAAAAAAAAAAAGAAGGACTCTGCCAGCAGACAGCCTTTGGACTCAGACTGCAACTCTTCCCTGAGTCTCTAGCCTGCCAGCCCATCCTGCAGATTTTGGGCTTACCTAGTGTCCACAATCAATTTCTCTTTATAATATATATATATCTCTCTCTCTCCACATCCTGTTGGTTCTGTTTCTCTGGAGAATGTTGACTAATACAGGACACATTTTATTTGTATGATAAACATACTAGAATATTTTTAGTTCCTAAAAGAAATATATCCTCTCTCTTCTTCCTTGAAATCTCTTTCATTTCCCTATTTTGACAGAGACATAGCCATGAAGAAATATTTCTCTACTGTGAGAAAAATACACACAGCACAAGATAATAGCAAGTGACTCTGAAGCTCGGAGAGGGGACGACAGAAGCGGTGGGTCTGTGGTGAACTGGAACTAACGGAGGCAGTGGCTCCAGCTAAGCTGCTGTGTGCTTGGGAATGTGGGGCCCAGCACTGTCAGATCTTCTGATTTTTCAAAAGAATCCAGAAATCTGTATATTTTATGTAAAATCTCCCATTTTTTAAACACGGGCTCAAAAAAATTTAAGATCTTGTGTGGGCCAAATATCTGCTCTCGAATGGAGCCTAGAGGTGATGAGCACAGGCTCTGGGTGGCACTCCTGGCCCTGCCTGCACTTACTGGCTGGGGGCTCATGGCTTACTTCCCCTCCCTATATCTCAATATGCCAGAGATGTGGGGTCCAGACCAGAGCATCCCACACGCTCTCGAGCCTATTTTTCTCTACTTAGGCACCCCCTTGGCACAGTCCTTCACACCTTGTACTGTACTCTCTGCAAATGCTCCTAAACTTGGGGGACAGTCAGCACTTGCCCTCTGAGATCTCCATGGGGTCTCCACCTGCAATGACCCTCCCTGCTCTAGCCTCTCCCAGCCAAGGGCCCATATGGAAGCTTGACCAACCAGCTCCTGAAGACAGAGGATTCTAATTTCCTCAAAAGTTATTAAAAGAAAAGGAAGGAGGAAATGATAAGAAAAAGCAAGAAGGGAGGGAAGGAAAGGAAGTCATCCTGTGCCTACCCCACGCCCACTTTTCTGCATCGTCTCCTGATTCTGTAAGTCAGAGACGCACGGAGCATTGCCCAAAGCAGCCAAAAACGCCTCACCCTGGAGCTGACTTACCCTTTTCCCAGTGATATGAGCACAGGATTCTCCAGCTCCATGAGCACCTGGAAGGCCTTATTCATGTTTTGATAAGAAAAGCCTTCTCCTGCATCTGCCATGACCACACAGTTTGGGTTGGTCGTGTCGATTTGATCAAATTCTGAGCGGATTCCTGGAAAGAAAGAGGGAGAGAAAGGGGGATAAAGCCCCAGGGTGACGTGGCCTGCCTCCCATCTCCTACCAGAGACACCTTCTGTCTGCCACGTCTGCTGTCCCTTTCTCAGATGCTCTCTTTATGATCCTCACAGCTGCCATGGCAGGTAGGCAGGGAAGGGGTGTCATTCCCATTTTACCGATGAAGGAATCCAGCTCCCCACAGTCAGAGAGCTCATTAGGAGACAGATGGGCCCAGCCCTGGAGACCCCACCCCAAAACCAGCATCATCCCAGGAGCTCCCTTACTTTAATACCACCAATGGCAGGAAACCCATAGCTTTGCAACCAAGAAGGGAAATCTGCCTGGAAGACACACATTCCTAGACGTAGGACGAAATGCGGCTGCTTGCAACCTTTATAGAGTTGTACTGCTGGCCCCAAACTCGAAGAACCATCGACACATTTCAGCCAATCCCCACTGGAGATGGGACAGCAGGGACACACGGACATCCTGAAAAGGAGGAGCTGAATCTCATCCCCACCAGCCTCGTTCACAAGCCCCCTTGGGAAAGTCTCTTCCTCCTCCTCCTCTCTGTCCCACCCCCATTTCAAATTAAAATAGGGGAAGATGCAAGGATAAATCGAGTCATTGGCCTTATGTCTTCAGTTCCGAGGAAGACACATATTCTCATCTATCTTGGTATTAGATGTTGACCTTTCTGGATTAAAAAAATTATAGCAACCACAACGAGATACTACTTAACACCCACCAGAATGACAAGAATTAAAAAGACTGAAAACACCAAGTGCTGGTGAGGGCGTGGAGCAGCCACAACAGCTGGCAGGAATGTAAAATGAGACAGTCCCTCCGGAAAAAGGGCTGGCAGTTTCTTACTAAACTGAACATACACCTACCCTACGACCCAGAAATTCCATTCCTAGGTATTTACCCAAAAGAATTGTACAGGAATGTTCACAGCAGGTTTATTTCTAATAGCTTAAAACCCAAAACTACCCAGGTGTCCATCAACAGGGGGATGGATAAACAATGTTCACCCAATGGAATACCACTCTGCAAAAACAGGAAGACCCTACTGATGCATGCAATCACATAGATGAGTCTCAAAACAGCATGCTGGGTGAAAGATGCCTGACACACACGACTATAGTGAAGAAAGGGTGAACTCAGCAGGCCTGGGCTACTCATGCCCTGCACATTCCAAGCAAAGGCTGTCTTCAGGTCGGGCCCTCCACCAGCTCCTGGGAGATCACCTCTGAGCCCTTGGAATATCCTGCCTGGAAGGAGGGCTTTGTATGCCTGGGGCCCTGGGCCATGCTGTGTCAGTTTGAGATCTGGGGGGCTGAAGACTGAGTAGTGAAGGTCAGTCACAGAGGCACTGCACGCCAACTGGACTGACCCTTAATAAAAACCCTGGACACAAGGCTCCAGGGAGCTCCTCTGGGAGACAACACGTCACATATGCTGTCACCCATCACTGCTGGGAGAAGTAAGTGCGTCCCAGCGCAACTCCACTGGAGGGGACAAGTGGAGGGGTGCCTGGCGTCTCCTGGCGTTTGCCCAGGCGTCTCGTCCCTTAGCTGAGTTGAATCTGTCTTCTTTCACTATGATAAGCCGGAACTGTGAGTAGGACCGCTTCTCTGAGTCCTGTGAGGCCCTCTTGCAAGTCATCAAGCCTGAGGGTAGTCTTGGGACCCCCAACACAACCAGATGCTGTATGATCCTATTCATATGAAATTCCAGACAAGGCAATCTTATTTATAATGGAAAAAATCCAAATAGTGGCTGCTTCTAAGGGGGCTGGAGATGGGGACCAACTGGGAAGAGCATGAGGGAAATTCTGGGGTGATGGTAATGTTCTAGGTCTTGACAGGGGTTCGGGTTACACAGATGTGTGCATCTGTCAAAAGTCAGCGAAAGTACGCTTGAGATTTGTGTATTTCATTGTACGTAAATTTTACATCAAAAGAAAAAACTAAACAGATATTGAACTCTAGCTGATGATGTGCTGAAGTGTTTAGGAGAAGTGTACCAATGTCTGCAATTTATTTTGAAATGCATCAAAAAGATAAGATGGAGGCTGGCCCGGTGGTGTAGTGGTTAAGTTCACATGCTCCAGGTTCGGATCACTGTGGTGGTGTCCCATATAAAGTAGAGAAAGATGGGCACGCATATTAGCCCAGGGCCAATCTTCCTCAGCAAAAAGGAGGAGGATTGGCAACAGATGTTAGTTCAGGGTTACTCTTCCTCACCAAAAAACAAAAGATAAAACAGATAGATGGATGGAGAGATGGAGAGATATATAATGAAGAAAATATAGTAAAATGTCATTTGATAAAAATAAGGTGATGGGTATTCAAATAGGCCAGGTAAAATTCTTTCAGTTTTGCTGTATGTTTGAAAATTCTCATAATAAAATTTTGGAGGGAATAAATTCATCAACAACAAAACTTGAAAAAAGATTCAAAGCCTGAAAACACAAGTACGTCTGTGGAAACCACAGACACAGGATTCCAGCTGAGGGAGGTCCTCTGAAGCTCTAAGATCTGCTTATGGGGACTCAGTGATTAATGCCACCCTTCAAGGCAAATGCTGAATTTTCCTCTCATCTCTGCCCATTCCTCCCTCACCCCTCCCTTTGCCCCGGGGAGGGGGATTTTCTTTCTTAAGTCTTGCTCTTTCTTTGAGGACCTGTTCTAACGACACTGGCAGGGAGGGATCCTAAATCAAGAGGAAAGATTTTGGGGGGCCGGCCCTGTGGCGTAGTTGTTAAGTGCGCACGCTCTGCTGCTGGCGGCCCGGGTTCGGATCCCGGGTGCGCACCAACACACTGCTTGTCAGGCCATGCTGTTGTGGCGTCCCATATAAAGTGGAGGAAGATCAGCATGGATGTTAGCTCAGGGCCAGTCTTCCTCAGTAAAAAGAGGAGGATTGGCATGGATGTTAGCTAAGGGCTGATCTTCCCCGAGCGTGCACACATGATCAATAGATCAATCAATAAATATTAAAGAGGAAAGATTTTGAGAAACAAGATTTCTTAAGGCCAGGCATGTTGCCCTCAACTGGCACCAGAGCTGTGGATGTGACACTCTGGCCCTTCACCGAGCACCCTCCACCTCAGGGAGCCCCACTCCTGCTTCGAGACAGACAAGCATGCTTGTCTCTGCTGGTGGTCTGTAAATAAAAATATCAAGTGTAGATGAAGGAAGGAAGAGGGCTCAGTGCAAGGAGAGGAAAGTGTCCTGAATTCTGAAACACTGCTTATGTCTCTTCTTTTTAAATATTCAGAAGGCACCAGAGAATATTGCTCCTTCTGCTTCATTCTAGAAAAACTCCCCACCGAGGAGTTTTCAGACTTTATCAGGATATAAACTTGTTCCATTCAGCAGAGAATGGGGCTGGTTTTCACAAATATACTTCAAGGGCCGGCCCTGTGGCTTGGTGGTTAAGTGCGCGCGCTGCGATGCTGGTGGCCCGGGTTCGGATCCCGGGTGCGCATCGAGGCACCACTTC